GAAAGCACAGAACATTTTTGGTTAATAAAATCTTAAATTCGAGAACTTTCGGGTTATTGAAGTTGGGTAACTGAACAAGGCTGGGTAACTAAACCAGGAATTGGGTAGCTCAATCGTGCTCAAATTAAGTCAAAACTGCGATCTGGAAAGCACAGAACATTTTTGGTTAATAAAATCTTAAATTCGAGAACTTTCGGGTTATTGAAGTTGGGTAACTGAACAAGGCTGGGTAACTAAACCAGGAATTGGATAGCTCAATCGTGCCCAAATTAAGTCAAAACTGCGATCTGGAAAGCACAGAACATTTTTGGTTAATAAAATCTTGAATTCGAGAACTTTCGGGTTATTGAAGTTGGGTAACTGAACAAGGCTGGGTAACTAAACCAGGAATTGGATAGCTCAATCGTGCTCAAATTAAGTCAAAACTGGGATCTGGATAGCACAGAACATTTTTGGTTAATAAAATCTTGAATTCGAGAACTTTTTGGATTATTGAAGTTTGGAGACTAAACCGTTGGGTAACTAAACCAGGAATTGGATAGCTCAATCGTGCTCAAATTAAGTCAAAACTGGGATCTGGATAGCACAGAACATTTTAAATCAATAAAATCTTGAATTCAGGAACTTTTTTGCGTGACCGAGTGGTTAGTGGGCTTGGCGCCAACCGCCAACGCTTGGCCAGGCCAACCACCCGGGTTCCAGTTCCATATCGGAAACTTGCCTAAGCCTAAGCTTTAAAAGGACTTGTTTTACAAGGGAATCCCAACCGGGTACGCTAGGCAAATGTCCAATTTGATTTGATCCAAAGCTTTCTAGCTTTCTAGCTTCTAACTTTCTAGTCCCCAATCCAAATCAATTCTCCCTTCAAATCCCATTCAAATTTCCATCGAGTGATCAAAAACCCAAGCCAGACTAGAAGCAATAAATGGGTAGACACGAAAACATGAACCTGTACAAATAATGAAAAAAAAAAGACAAATTTGAAACTTTTTGGCAACAGACTTAAATTGATCGGCGGCACAGACCGGCTCGGGGAAAAAAGAATGAAGAAAAATGGCTGAGAGATGAGAAAAGAAGTCGAGAGCGGAAAAGAGAGAGAGCGGAAATTTCGAGAGAAAAACTTTGCGTCGAAAAAAAGAGCTGAAAAATCAATGGAGAGGGGTGGTGTCTGTCTCCGTCCTCTTCGTCCTCTCCGTCCTCTCCATCCTCTCCATCCTCTCCATCCAGGGTCCAGCCCGGGCCTCCCTCGTGCCCGGCCCTGGACCCTGGCCGGGTCCTTCTCCAAGGCCCTTTTCCGGGATCCTTCTCCCTTCAAGCTCCAGACTGAGAGACTAAAAATGACTGAACCCTTAGACTCCTGAACCCTCTCCAGCTCTTTCACAGCTCTTCCCAGCTCCTCCCAGCTCTTCTACCCTCCACCCTCCCATTCCATTTCAATTTCTTGGTCTTGCACGTCTTTTTCTTGCCCTTTTCCTTACCCTTTTCCTTGCTCTTTCCTTCTTCTTCCTTCTTCCTTCCTTCCTTTCCTTTTCCCTTTCCCAGTGTCTTTACCCTTCTTCTTGGACCTCCATTCTTTTTGGACCTCCGTTCTCTACTCCTTTTTTGGCTTAAGCCTTGAAAGCTGGCAACTGGTTGAGCACTGATCTCTTGTTCACTTCAAAATTTGGCTTAGATAAGTTAAAGGGAAACTAGATAAAAGTTCAGCAAAGTATAGAATGACTATCGTAACTCTATTTTGATAGAATTGAATACGAATCTGAGATGACTCAATTTAGAGTTGATATTGTTGAATTTAGAGTTGAGATGGTTGAATTTAGAGTAGATAAGGTTGAGCTCAGATCTGTTAGAGTTGATGTGGTTGAATTTAGAGTTGAGATGGTTGAATTTAGAGTTGATATGGTTGAGCTCAGATCTGTTAGAGTTGAGATGGTTGAATTTAGAGTAGATAAGGTTGAGCTCAGATCTGTTAGAGTTGATATAGCTGACTTTAGAGTTGAGATGGTTGAATTTAGAGTAGATAAGGTTGAGCTCAGATCTGTTTGAGTTGATATAGCTGACTTTAGAGTTGAGATGGTTGAATTTGGATCTGATATGGTTGAGCTCAGATCTGTTATGATTGAATGCGGCTAACGCGATTAATTTTATCGTAATCTAAGCCGTTTATATTGTGGTTCTAATTGTACCCCAATGCACATCGGCGCGAAAATGCGTTTTCTATCGGATTTTTCCGGGAGTACCATTTTTAGATGCGGAAAATTGTGCTGATTCCGAATCTGAAGGAATTTTTCAAATCCCCTCAACAGAAATTTTTAAAATTGAGTTTTATCGGTTTTTTGGTCATTTTGTACGGGAAATTTTGTGGTACTCTGCAGTTTGGGGCTCGTAACTCGACAATCAGGGTCTAGAACCCAAAAAACGAGGGGATGATTTTTATTCTAGAGACTCTCACGAACATTTTGATACAAAAATCATCAAATTTGCTCAACTCTACAAAAAGTTATAACATTTTAAAATTACAGTAGCCAAGCTTCAGAAAACCAGTCTGAGTCAATGCCGGGATGAGATTCTAGGATTTTTTTTTTGATCTGTCTTCGCACTCAGGTGTTCCTATTTGCGCAGATCACAACCTGCTTCCACATTTCTCTATCCCTTGCTATTGTCATCCAGTGTTTCCTAGCTTGATTGTTCCTGGTTCGAAGTCTTCGACTTGCTGGTGCTGGTGGTGGTTGCAGTCTAGCCATCCTTTCTCTGACCGTCTCTGCCACTCTTGTGCTCCACCTCGTTGCTGGTCTTCCGACTGGCCTCTTCTGGTCTCGTGGTAGCCACTCTATGATCCGTATCGTCCATCTGTCGTCTGTTCTTCTGGCTACGTGACCGGCCCATCTGAGTCTTTTTCTCTCAATCACTTCCACTGGATCTCTGAGTCCCGAGAGCTGGCGCATGTCCGTACTTCTTAGGTCCTGGTCGAGCTGCGTCTTCCTATTGTACCCGAGGAGGTTCCTTTCAAGGGCTCGATGCGTCGTTCTCAGGGCTCGTTCAGTGGTCTGTGTCGTGGCCCAGATCCTAGGATGAAATGTTGGAATCAAATGCTGGAATCAAATGCTGGAATGAAATGCTGGAATCAAATGCTAGGATGAAATGCTGGAATGAAATGCCAGGATGAAATTCTAGGATGAAATCCTAGGATGAAATGTAATCCCAAGCTTCGGTAAGGCTTAAAGGCTAAGGGCTTTCTTAAAGGCTAACTTTAAACGCTTCAAGGAAGATAATACAGAAGTGAATGCCATTATCTTTAGTGAATGCCAATGAATCATCTTTAGTGACGAGTGGAAATTCAATATTTTCAACGAGAATGATTCTTTTTTTTGATCAAAGGACCGATTGGAGCTCGAGATTGACGAAAATAAACTAGATCAATGGCTATGAGACTTATGAAGCTCGATATTGACTCAAATATATCAGACCAATGGTTCTTGTGTGATCAAATGATCAACTGGAGCTCGATATTGACTCAAATATATCACACCAACAGTCAGGTTGCTGGAGAGGCTCAGATCCAGCATTCGAAGCACCGCACGTCCTTTTTGCCGTTTCCTTTGATCTCCACTTTCTTTCATTTCTTCGAATTCTTGTTTTTGGAGTCAAATATTCAGCTCCTTTTTTCCATTTTCTCTCACAATCAGTTTAATTAAAGTCTTTTTCCACATTTTTTCCTTTTCAGAATCTTCCCTGGAAAAGTTTCCCCTTTGCTTTTAAAGAAACGTTTATCTATCAAAGTTTAACTGGCTTTGATTTAAGCTTTATTGTTACTGAAGGATTACTGTAGCTCTACTGAATGGTTACTGTAGCTGTACTGATTACTGTGGTTACTGTCACTGAACTAAATGATTACTGCAGTTACTGTAGCTGTGCTGGAGGATTACTGTAGCTGTAAAGCTGCAAGATTAACCATCGGTAAACTTCAGCCTTTAAGTCAAGTATTTTTAAAGCCAGCTGAAGTCTACAGTATCCCAATAAAGTAGCCAGCTCAGCCAGCCAGCCTAGCCAGCCAGCCTAGCCAGCCAGCATAGCCAGCCAGCCTAGCCAGCCAGCTCAGCCAGCCAGCTCAGCCAGCCAGCTCAGCCAGCCAGCCTAGCCAGCCAGCCTAGCCAGCCAGCTCAGCCAGCCAGCTCAGCCAGCCAGCCTAGCCAGCCAGCATAGCCAGCCAGCCTAGCCAGCCAGCTCAGCCAGCCAGCTCAGCCAGCCAGCTCAGCCAGCCAGCCTAGCCAGCCAGCCTAGCCAGCCAGCTCAGCCAGCCAGCTCAGCCAGCCAGCCTAGCCAGCCAGCCTAGCCAGCCAGCCTAGCCAGCCAGCCTAGCCAGCCAGCCTAGCCAGCCAGCCTAGCCAGCCAGCCTAGCCAGCCAGCCTAGCCAGCCAGCCTAGCCAGCCAGCCTAGCCAGCCAGCCTAGCCAGCCAGCCTAGCCAGCCAGCTCAGCCAGCCAGCTCAGCCAGCCAGCTCAGCCAGCCAGCTCAGCCAGCCAGCTCAGCCAGCTTGAATCTCTTTAGCTTTAGAAAACTTGAAAGCTATTCCCACTCAGCTATTGAAAGCCATTCAATTTATTCATACTGTACCTGAGAACTGAACTAGAGGTACAGTAATCCAAGAGACTTGAGCCTGAGCCTATGCCTAAGCCTAAGGCTAAGCCTAGGCCTAAGCCTAGGCCTGAGCCTGAGCCTATGCCTAAGCCTAAGCCTAAGCCTAAGCCTAAGCCTTAGCCTTAGCCTTAGCCTGAGCCTGAGCCTGAGCCTGAGCCTGAGCCTGAGCCTAAGCCTAAGACTAAGCCTAAGCTATAAGCCTATGCCTAAGCCTGAGCCAAGAGACTTCGATTACTGTACTTCTAAGGCTTACTGTACTTTAACCAACCATAACTTTGGCTATTTTTCTATAACATGGCTGTATTGGTACTTGAATAACCTACAGTAATCTGTTTTAGAATGTGATTCCATATTTAAAACATTTTAAAGCCCAAACCTTCCCGACTGTGAGCGAACGACGAGCAAATTTGGGTTATAAGTGTTGTGACGATTGAAGCGACGAGCGAACTGGAAAATTTGATTTCAAATTTGTTGATTTCAAGATGAAAACATATCTATATCGATCTATATCGATTGAAGCTCTAGATTTAGATTCTTTATCTACTTTTAAAAACACAAGAAGTACTTCTAAATACCTGTGACGTTCCACCGAAAGAAACAGCGCGACGATCGTGCGTCGGCTGATTGAAAAACTCTTCCTCGCTATTGTTCGAGTCTGAAAACTTTCCTGTGTACTTTGTGCTGTAAATGTGCACTTCCTGGCACACTCTATTAGAAAACAATGTTGGCTTTTCACCAAAGAAACTTCTCCACTTCTCCGCCAGAAAGTCTGCGTTTATGAGAAGAAAAAAAGTAGGCTTCTCCCTTCAATTCGAATACTTTGTGCTTTCTCATAAACGCACGCTTTCTAGTGCAAGAGTTCACGCAACAGAAAGCGAATGTTTCCAAAGAAAACAAACCAAATGAGTCCTGTTGATTGAGTGTGAGTGTATTGTGTCGAGATCGGGGTTGAAGTTCGCTTGTCGGCTTCGGCACATAGTTTAAAGCATCATCCGGCATCGGTGCATCCCATGTGAAATCGACTAAAATTTCAGTAGGTTTGTAACACTGTAATAGATTTATAAATGATACTTGTCGGTTTTTTAAAGAAGCAAAAGGGATTTGGTCATGGGAGGATTCGAACCTGACCTCCCCCCTCGCCACCCGCTTCGCAACCCAGCTCACTACCCACTAGGCCACCACTGCTGTCTGTCCGGGCGTGTTTGGCACGGCTTTATTGGCTAGGAAGCGATCTATTGGCGATTTTTCGAGTGATTTTCTTTATAAGGCTTCCAAGGCACTAAACCAGGATGGCGTTGTGGTGTAATGGATAGCGAGTTGGGATACAGGGCAGTTGCTTGAGGGTTCGAGTCCGGGGACTGTTTTTTGTTTTGTTTTTTCTTCTGGAGTTAAGAATTAATTAATAGGATAATTACAGCATACTATAGCATAATGTAGCTAAGACAGGAACTTCTGTACTGGAGTTACAGTATGCTGTAGCTGTACTGTAGCTTGGGATTTACTGTGGCTCAGTCTCAGGTTCAGGCTTAATCTCAGACTCAGGTTTAGGCTCAATCTCAGGCTCAGGCTCAGGTTAAGGCTCAGGTTCAGGCTCAGGTTAAGGCTCAGGTTCAGGCTCAATCTCAGGCTCAGTCTCAGAACTTGCTATTCCTTTAAAATCAACTACAACACCCCATAGAAAGAATGAAGAATGCAGTGCACCAGAAAGGCTACGTTTCCAAGCACAAAGTCCATTTGAACAAACCTTCTTTTAGCGTTTGTTGCATCACCAACTGTCCAGGCTTCACCGTCTCCAACATTTGCAGCTCGGGGCTCTGATTTTGAGTCTAGAAATTCAAAAATACTCAAATATAGATCTATTTCATAAATATAACCAATTCTGGGCAATTCCTGGGCAATTTCTGGACAATGCATCCATTTCACAGAAACGTTGTTTATTTGATCACTCAAATCCACCCACTTTTCTATTAATTTCAGGGATTTCACCGATTTCACGTGTTTTTCTTTCAGTGCCATCCTCGGTGCCAGCTCAGCTTTTTTTTCAAGGCTTTTTTTTATAGAAAACAATTGGATAAGGTTTTTCGTTAGTAATTCTCGAAAACTATTCTCAAAAACTATCGAAATCAGTTCAGTAAATGACTCTCTTTCCGCTCAATTTTGAGAATTTTGATAAAGTTTCGTCCGGACGATGGATTGTGACTCATTTTGAGAGGGAAACGGGCACATAGATGGATAGAAATGGAAAATAGATGGATAGATTGGATAATAGATGAATAGATTGGATAATAGATGGATAGATTGGATAATAGATGGATAGATTGGATAATAGATGGATAGAAATGGATAGAAATCGAAAATAGATGGATAGAAATGGAAAAAAACGTTGAATAGATTGGATAATAGCTGGTTAGATTGGATAATAACTGAATAGATTGAATAATAAATGAATAGATTGGATTATTTTAGATCTAAATTAGATTCAGAAACGAGTAATAGAGATTTTCTGTCGCTAAAGTAGTCTAAGAAGTGGTGTAAGATGTGGAAAGGAGTTTAAGTTGAAGAAAAGATACGGTAACGTAATCGAACCGTACGGCAAATCCGTTACAGTACTGCGAATTCGTTACAGTACGGCAAATCCGTTACTGTACGGCAAACCCGTTACTGTACGGCAAATTGGTATCCGTACGGCAAATCCGTTACAGTACGAGAAACCCGTTACTGTACGGCAAACCCGTTACTGTACGGCAAATCCGTTACAGTACGGGAAATCCGTTACAGTACGGGAAATCCGTTACAGTACGGGAAATCCGTTACAGTACGGGAAATCCGTTACAGTACGGCATACCGTATCCGTACGGCAAACCCGTTACTGTACGGCAAAGCCGTTCCTGTACGGCAAATCCGTTCCTGTACGGCAAACCCGTTACTGTACGGCAAACCCGTTACTGTACGGCAAATCCGTTCCGGTACGGCAAACCCGTTACTGTACGGCAAATCCGTTACTGTACGGCAAATCCGTATCCGTACGGTAACCTAATCGTTTCACGAAAACAGCCAGATTACGATTCAGGCATCTTTTTGACTCTAGATGTCTTTTTAAGCTTCTATTTGTCTTCTCAGGTTTCTATTTATCTTATTCTAACATTCTAACATTGACAAGATACTAGTACAACTAGTTGTTCAGAGGCGGTAACTGAACTTTAATCAGCTGCAGAGATTACTGTAAGGATTACTGTAGCTGTAAAGATTGAATTGCTGTAGTGAAAAGATTGTTGTAAGAATTACTGTAAGAATTACTGTAAGAATTACTGTAAAGATTATTGTAAGGATTACTGTAAGGTTACTGTAAAGATCGCTGCAAAGATTACTGTAAGGATTACTGTAAGGATTACTGTAAGAATTACTGTAAGGGTTATTGCAAAGATTACTGTAAAGTTTATTGTAGAGATTACTGTAGCTGTAAAGGTATTTCACCTGATAAGTGATCTGTGAATAGGCGCTCAACTGTCCTGGTGAGGTATCGGTTCGATATGGTGGTGTTGGTTGTCCACTCAATGTTTCTCGGTCATTTGCTGTCGGATACGGGTAATTGTCGTAGTCTTTGCTTTGATTCTGAATGTTAGAGCTTATAGTAGAAAGATATTCAGCTTCGGCTTAGGCTTAGGATTTTATTGGGTTGGGGAGAATGAGTCGGCGCCCAACTTTAAAGGGACTTTTTGCACACATAAAGCCTTTTTTTAAACATACGTTTGGTTTCATCAAAAGGATCCACTATTTCTCTACAAAATCACTTTTGAGAGATCCCACAAAGCTTTTCTTTCGTGGAGTTTATGAACTTCCAAAAGCAGCTGGTTAAAATGGCAAAGAGTCCGACTCATCATTTGAACAATTTCTTTCACATAAACCTTCTTTGGTGTTTATATAAAAAAGATAGAGCACATTGAATTACTTAAGTCGCCAAATTTGCAGGAAGATCCCACCAATGGTTTTTTCTATTGGGTTGGTGGAAAAGTCCTTTCGGATTTTTTGGGAGAGTACCTTAAATTTGTCGAATTTTGATGTTTTATAGCTCATCCTAAAGCTGAATTCAAGACGGATCGATTGGTAAAAACCGTTTTGAGATATCTCTTTTCTAAAAGTTTTTACAGCTATTTTAGTAAAGGGCGGCAGAGCGAAAAAATGGCTGTTTTCACGTTTCGTTAGTTTTCCGTGCAGAAACCTAGGCTAAAAACATGTTTTTCGTGATCAGCGTCAAAAATAACCCCTAGACACGCATTTTCAAAAGCTTAGCAAAAAATTTTTGAAAAATATTGTCACCGGTGAAAGTCGAACCAGCGCAAGAACAGGAAGACCATCGGCTATTGGCGGAAAGGCTATTGACGGGTGAACTTGGGATTGCTTTGCTTGCTTTTGCTCTTGCTTTTGAACCAGCGACCCTCAGATCGCCCCTCAGACGACCCTCAGACGAAAACGAAGGAAAATCGCGAAAAGCGGCGGAAAGGCTATTGATCTGAGGGTCGCTGGTTCGACTTCCACCGGTGACAATATTTTTCAAAAATTTTTTGCTAAGCTTTTGAAAATGCGTGTCTAGGGGTTATTTTTGACGCTGATCACGAAAAACATGTTTTTAGCCTAGGTTTCTGCACGGAAAACTAACGAAACGTGAAAACAGCCATTTTTTCGCTCTGCCGCCCTTTACTAAAATAGCTGTAAAAACTTTTAGAAAAGAGATATCTCAAAACGGTTTTTACCAATCGATCCGTCTTGAATTCAGCTTTAGGATGAGCTATAAAACGTCAAAATTCGACAAATTTAAGGTACTCTCCCAAAAAATCCGAAAGGACTTTTCCACCAACCCAATAGATGACAGTTTGTAGTTTTTGTGAAAAAATGGCTTTTTCTTGAGCGGAGGCGCTGTTTGAATTTTCTTTTAAATGTCATTTTGTAGAGAATTAGTTAACCATTCTACTCATATCAAACGCATATTATTTGACGAAGTCGAATAGAAGTTTTAGACATTTTTTTGATTTTCGGCGCCGACTCATTCTCCCCAACCCAATAGCTTAGATCTTCAGCTTAGATTTGGGATTTTCTACCTTAGACAAGTGCTTTAAAGAGCTCTACCATAATCAAACGAGTAAAAGCTACAGTAGCAGTTAGTACTGTAATCATAAGATCAAAAAATGCGTTACGGTAACTGGAGCAAGCTTTAGAGTTATTGTAAATGACGAGCCATTGATTTTAAATGTTCCCAAATGTCTTTCCTTCTTTCTTTCTATCTTCCTTTCTTTCTTCCTTTCTATCTTCCTTTCTTTCTGCTTTCCCTGGTCTTTCCTTCTTTCCTTCTTTCTTCCTTTCTTCTTCCCCTTGTCTTCTCCTTCTTCCCCTTGTCTTTCCTTCTTTCCTTCTCTCTTCCTCTCTTCTTCCCCTTGTCTTTCCTTCTTTCCGTCTTTCTTCCCTTCTTCTTCCCCTTGTCTTTCCTTCTTCCCTTCTTCCCTTCTTTCTTCTTCCCCTTATCTTCCTTTTCTCAAGATACTCAATACCTCATCGATTATAACTAAAACAATCGGAAAGGTAAAAGTCGGGAGTTCAATCCCTTCTTCTACTTTTTCTTCACTTCTTTATCATCTATGGGATTTCTATACAATCTACAAGATCTACAGCACTTTATTAGACTATTATATTGCAATTATATTGCTGATTTCCCCCCACAAACCTGCGCAACAGCGGCACTGCACCAAAGTGGTGACTCTTGTCCGCGTAACATCGTTTCTTTTTCACGTTTTTTTCCTTTGTTTCAGTGAGTTTTTCTGGAAATTGGATTGGAAATTGGAAAAATATGGCTTTGAATTGGGAAAAACTGTAGAATTCGAGCTATAGAGCTAAGAAAAGCGAGAAAAGCTAGAAAAAACTGTAGAATTCGAGCTATAGAGCTAAGAAAAGCGAGAAAAGCTAGAAAAAACTGTAGAATTCGAGTTATAGAGCTAAGAAAAGCGAGAAAAGCTATAGAGCTAAGTTATCTAAACAAAAATAAGTAAACAAGTTATCGAAAAAAGTGACAGTAACAAGTTTTACTCCCCCAAAGCTTTTCTGTATACTTTGAGCTTATAAACGCATCATTTATAGTCCATTCGCATCATTTCTAGCAGTCCAATGCACTAGAAAGATTGCGTTTACAAGTAAGCACAAAATTGATTGGTCTGTTTTACAAAGCGATAAGGTCAGTGGAGGGGCTTGAACCCGACCGCAAGAACGGGCACTGGTTTGGCAATCTAGCGGACTATTCACTTGACCATCGCTGCTGTAATAGCTGCTGTATTAGCTGCTGTAATAGCTGCTGTAATAGCTGCTGTAATAGTCTTAAAGTCGTACTTATCTGTTTTTCAAAAAAGCAAAAAGTTCTCGGAAAAATGGCGCTGCCAGGAGTCGAACCCGACCCTAATGCCTTTGCACTAACTTTGTAGCCCACCGCACTATCCACTAGGCCACCACTGCTGTTTGGCCGAGGGTGTTTGGCACGGTCTTATTGGCTAGAAAGCAATTTTTCGAAAGGCGATTTTGATTGATTTTTCGATGGGTTTTTCTTTATAAGGTTTAGATGAGCCTCTCGGCAAAATGGCTGCGTGGTGTAGTGGATAGTAGATGAGGATACGGAGCAGGGGATCGACGGTTCGAATCCCTTCACTGATTTCTTTTGTTTTTTCTATTGGAATCATAATTCTGTGTATTTGGAGCTGTTCTAGGCCATTCTAGCCTAAGCCAATACACTAGAAATATTGCGTTTACAAGTGAGCACAGAGTACAGGGCAAATTTCGAAGAATTTCTAAGAATTTCGAAGAATTTCGAAGAAAATCAACTAATATTAAACAAAATCTGAGGCTAATCCGCGAGATCTTTGATTCAATAGGTCTTCCGGGAAAAAAAACGGGGATTTCCTTGGTTCGACGAGAAGAAAAGTATTATCAAACATCAAATCCATAGCTTTTTTCCCTCAAATTTCATAGATTTCCCTAGACTTTTGTCATCAAAAGTTCAAAAATCGAGTTATTTTTGAGGATTTGTTGGTTTTTTAATGAAAAAAGGCTAGAATTTGATAGTTTTTTATTGAAAAAAGCTAGGATTTGATAGTTTTTTATTGAAAAAAGCTAGAATTTGATAGTTTTTTACTGAAAAAAACTAGAATTTGATAGTTTTTTACTAAAAAAACCCTAGGATTTAACACTTTTTCCGAAAAAAAACAAAAATTGCTTGTGTTTCGATGCAAGAAAAGCCAAAAAAACGTGTGGATCAGAGGATTTTTGCGAATGAAATCGCAAAAATCTCCGTTTTAACAACAAAAACGACAAAGATTCGATCAGAATCCAGAAAGAAATGGGAAATTATTCAAAACAAAAAACATAACTAGAGGAAGTGCTAACGAAAATCTGCCAAATAACAAGGAAAGTGAGGCACAAAATCGCGAAATCTCAACAGGAATTGAAGAGGCTGCGATTGAACTGGGAAAATTGGGAAAAATGTGAAAGGTTTTCAATGCAATGCACGATCTGGATGTCACACAGTATGATAAGCATTAATTTATGGTACCCTAACATCTTTTTTTGGGTGCTGTATCAGAGCTCTAAGCTACCCAGGTGTTCTTTGTGCTTTCCCGTAAACTCTCGGCTTCTAGCACAAAGCAATGCACTATCTGGATGTCACACAGAATGATAAGCATTAATTTACGGTACCATAGCAATATTTTTTGGGTGCTGTATCAGAGCTTTAAGCTGTCAGAGGCGTACTTTGTGCTTCAGCGTAAACGCTCGCCTTTAGGTACACGGCTTGCCACCTGCGTCCCACTCAGTGCCTAAGTTGCATAAATGCCGATTCTATGATTTCAAAAATCTAGTGTGACATCCAGATTGGCCATTTTCGCCTTGAAACAATCGGATTGTCGTACAAAATATCGAGGAATCCCAGTGAAAGAATATGGCTCAATTATCCGAGTCCCTACGTTACGTAAATGTTGATTTTCTGATTTCGAAAATCTAGTGTGACATCCAGATTGACCATTTTCGCCTTTAAACAACTAGATTGTCATAAAAAATATCGAGGAATCCCAGTGAAAGAATATGGTTTAATTACCCAAGTGCCCAAATTGCGTAAATGCCGATTCTATGATTTCAAAAATCTAGCGTGACATCCAGATTGACCATTTTCGCCTTTAAATAATCGGATTGTCGTACAAAGTACGATTTAATTACCCAAAAAAACAAGAAAAGCTCTCTAGAATCTTCAAAATTGAACTAAAATAGGAGCAAGCCAAAGTCAAATGTACTTTATCGTACTTGTACTATAATATGTTATAGTTTTTGGTTCAAAAAACCAAAGTCCAAGCGTAAAAATGAAGGTTGCAAAACATTTAAAAAATAGGTCAAAAAGGGAGAAGACCAAAAAATTTGGAAGAGAAAAAGAAAGAAAAAGAAGAAAAAAGAAGAAAAACGAAGAAAATGGCTGAGAGAAACGTTTTTGAAATAAACACGTGAACTCTCCGTTTTGCGGGGAAAGAAGAGATTGGAAATAGTTGAGGAAAAGTTGATGGAGAAATGAAAAGAATATGGGAAAAGGAGAGAAATTCTCTGGCTCTTCGGTTCGCCGACATTGAAAACGAAGTAAACAACAAAAAAATTCTATGGTGAGGGAAAGAGAGGGGGAAAAGAAATGGGAAGAGAGAGAGAGAGAGAGAGAGAGAGAGTGAGTTAGAGAATGGACAAGTGGAGGAGCTGGAGGAGCTCAGCTTAGGCTGAGCAAGAGTAAGAGTTGAGTAGAAGATTGTAGAGAAGAGTGAGAAATAGGTGAGAGTGACAAAAGAAAGAAGATGAATGGAGAAAATGATTGAGAAGAATGGTAGAGGTTGGATGGAATGAAGAGTGACTAAAGGAGAAGTGAAGAAGTTGAAGAGAAAAGAAAGAAAAGAGGCTGAGAAATGAGAAGGATGGAGATAGATTGAGGAAACTTTTAGTGAAAGCTTGAGAAAATATAGCAATGGAGAGATTGGTAGGGAGTAGAAGTCAGTGTACCGTAAATAAGTCAAGGTACCGTAAATTGGACCTCAACGTACGCTGTGACATCCAGCTTGAGCAATATCGTTAAAATTTTGATACTTTTTACAAGGGAGTACAAAGGACACCGCTGGACGACGAGGGGCTACCTAGTACAGTACTAAAAAATCAATCAAGGTACGTAAATTGGACTTCAACGTATGCTGTGACATCCAGAATGAGCAATGGCTTTAAAATTTCGACACTTTTTACGGGGGAGGACAATGTACACCTCTGGACGGCGAGGGACTACCTAGTACAGTACTGAAAAATCAGTCAAGGTACGTAAATTGGACTTCAACGTATGCTGTGACATCCAGATTGAGCAATACCGTTAAAATTTTGGTACTTTTTACAAGGGAACACAAAGAACACCCTTGGACGGTGAAGGGCTACCTAGTCTAGCACTAAAAACTAAGTCCAGGTACGTCAATTGGACTCCAATGTACGTTGTGACATCCAGAATGAACAATGGCTTTGTAATTTTTGGCACTTTTTACAAGGGAGTACAGTGTACACCTCTGGACGACGAGGGACTACCTAGTACAGTACTTAAAAACTAAGTCAAGGAACGTAAATTGGACTCTAAAGTACGGTGTGACATCCAGAATGAAAAATAGCTTTAAAATTTTGGTACTTTTTACTCGTAACAGTCAGTTAAAATCTTGGAGGATGTTTTTGTGAGATTTTTCAGAGATTTTTGAGTATATAATTAAACCAAATTCGAAATTCATTTCAATGACTCAAATTCTTTTTACAAAACAAATTCCAGTAGTTCAGAAAGGGTGAAAAGGGGAGAAAAGTTGACAGAAGTCAGGGATTGACAAAGACAAAAGTTGGGATTGACAAAGACAAAAGTTGGCGGAAGTCAGGGATTGACAAAGAAGGCGGATGACAAGGGAAGAGCTATGGTACAGTACTTTTTTCTACGGTCACTCTGTAACCAGATAGATAAGCCATCGATAGATAAAGTCAAAAAAGAAGAGTTTCGATAGAAGAGTAGAAGCGTTTCGATTTGTTGAGTTTAGATAGAAAAATAGTTATCTAAGGAGCTGTGAGTCAGGAAACGATGGATGGAAATAGAGAAAACGAGAGAGGAAAGCACTTTTGATTGAGTCGTTTTTGTGTTATTTTCTTGTTCTTTTCGAATTCGAGAGGGAAAAGATGAAAAAGGCAAAAAAAAGACGAAAAAGACGAAAAACGACAAATCAAAGGAATCAAATCTCGAGAAATGAAAAGAATTTCGTGGAAATCAAAGCGATCAGTCAGATTTGTTTCAAAAGTTTTCCAAATTTGACTCAAATCGATCTCAAAGTGGTTTTTGGGGAAACTAGAGGACTACGCAAGATTGATCATTGCTTTAAATTGAATAATTTGGGATTACGATAGGGTTACGATAGGGTTTGTCAACATTCCTTAAAGCCAATCAGCCAGTCAACCAGCCAGTCAACCAGCCAACCAGCCAGCCAGCCAACCAGCCAGCCAGCCAGCCAACCAACCAACCAGCCAGCCAGCCAGCCAGCCAACCAGCCAGCCAGCCAGCCAACCAACCAACCAGCCAGCCAGCCAGCCAGCCAACCAGCCAGCCAGCCAGCCAACCAACCAACCAGCCAGCCAGCCAACCAGCCAGTCAACCAGCCAACCAGCCAGCCAACCAGCCAGCCAACCAGCCAGCTAACCAACCAG